GCTCCGTCCGCCCGCCACACTTTTCTGTCCCATTTTTACCCCTCCCTCCCCATCTCCTTCTCCCTTGGCCTGCCAGCTTTGCATCCATCTCCCCATCTCCCCCACCGTCACCCCCGCTGCCCGCACCCGCCGGGGCTATGGCTGCAGAGGAGGGGTTGCAGACGGTGGACCACTACAAGACCGAGATAGAGAGGCTGACCAAGGAGCTCACGGAGACGACCCACGAGAAGATCCAGGCTGCCGAGTACGGGCTGGTGGTGCTGGAGGAGAAACTGACCCTCAAGCAGCAGTATGACGAGCTGGAGGCTGAGTATGACAGCCTCAAGCAGGAGCTGGAGCAGCTGAAAGAGGTGAGTTGTCTGTCACCTCGTCCATCCTCACCACCTCCCCCATGCTCCCGCCTCCCGCCCCGGGCCCACTCCTCATCATAAAGAAGTCGGAAAGGATGGGCTTGAAAGGACTGTTTCTTCATCTTAGGGCTCTTTGTCGATAAGAGAAGACTGAAAAAGTCCATTGTTTTAAGCCCAACAGAAAAATTGCCCAAGAAACGCATGCCTAAGCTGGAACTGGGGAGGCGATGGCTGTTTAGCTTGTGGGGGAGGGACATTCATAAGAGCCTCCAAGCAGCAGCATTCTGGCCGCACTGGACAGGGTTGCAATGTGTAAACCAAACTTCCCTAAACTGCCCTCGGTTCAAGCCCCGGTTTCCGCGACCATCCTGTAATCCACAAGGTGATGAGTAGGTTGGTGCCTGAGGACCCACAATTTCAGGATGCCGATTCTGTGGTGTCTGAGCTTTCTGCTGAGTGTGAGCACTCCTGGGTGAGGGAGGGGACGGTTGTTAGGACTCTTCACCAGTCCCGTTGACAAAGCCTGGGCAGTCTTCATTCCCCTGGGCTTTAGTCATTCTGTCATTGTTGTCCAAGGGCTGCAGGAGAAAAACAACTTTGCTGGGGCTTCTCCTTGCCTTATTTCATCTCTGAGCCGGACTGGGTCATGCCCAAGTCCTGTGAGGTCACCCTGACCAGGGAAAATGCAACTCACTTACAAATAATCAGAAGGAATGGTGCATGTCAAATACCTGGGTAGCCTTGCATTTCAAAGAAATCTCTCATTGAAATGAGTATAAAACCAGACTATGCCAGTGGGCCGTGTATAACATTTGTCCTTTCTAGTCTTTAGATACTTGACTTCTTTTAAACACTAATGTATTGGAAGAAAATAATAATTGTGTTTGATTCCCTATCACACACTCATAAGAACCAACGTATGTTTTAAGAAACTCAACTTGTTTTTACCTAATTCTTAAAAGCACTCTAAGTAGCAAGTGACCACTTAAACATTTAAATGTACCTATGTACTGTTTTTTCATGTGTCAAGTCTTTATTATGGAGTGCATATGGGCATTTTAAATGTTCATTTTTATTTGGCATATAATACTGTCATCTTTTTCTTACAGTGTAAATTTGGTTTGGGGGAGTCCTTATTTTGTATTGTTACAGTTAGGACTATAACATCATATGTATCTAATTAAGCTGTCTTCTATTAATAATTGAGCACATACTTTGGTAAGCATTTATACATTCAGATATGGCTTATTTTTATTCAGATGTCTAAATACCAAAAAATAAATATGGTCCGTATGGTTTAAAACACCAGCTAGAAATCTAGGCTGTAAATTTCTAGTACATGCTTTTCCTAACCATGTGTGTGTCTGGTCTTAACAACAGCTGTCCGTGTTTATATTTTCCAGTTTGGATTAGGTCTGAGGCTAACATACTTAGATATGATGATGCTGAATCCTGTGAAGTGAAAGCGGATGATGGCTGTAGTTCTCAGGGGTGTTGTGATGTTGTCTACACTTTTCAACACTGCTCTGCCAAGACTGGGGAGGGCGAGCCGGACAGTGTTGAGCCATCGCCTTATTGATAAGAGAGGTGAACTTCATTTGATGAATTGGAGTATAACTGTCCACAGACCTTCTTATTTGATTTAAACAACGCTTCTGAGATATTTTTGTGTCACCTTGCATCGTTAACCTTAATGCTCTTGCTGTCTGCCTTTACTATGAGCTGTTAAAGCAAAGAATCTGCCTTAATTTACTTCCCGTGTGGAGTCTTCAACACAAAGCCTAGCACATAGTGAGCAGGGTAATATTTATTAAAGAGTCCATTTGCACTGGAAGAAGATACACTTTTCTCAAGTATTCACTAATCAATATTAAGAAGATATTAGAAACTGTAGAAAGTGACCAGTTTGGGGGTTGACAGGTGGCGTGGTGGTTGAGGCACTGGACTCCCACATGGCTGACCACAGTTCAAATACTGAACCTGGTGGCTTGGTTTCTCATTCTCTTTTTCTCTCTCTCTCTCTGGTCTAAATTAAAGAATAATGATAATAAATAAAATAAAAAATAAGTCTTTTTTTTAAAAAAGAAGATAATTAAGGCAAACCATTCCATAAGCAAAAAAAGCGACCAGTTTGTGAAAAAGCTACCTGTGTTAGTTTCATCAGCCACAGTGAGAAAAATGAGAAGAAAAGTGCTTTTAGGAAAGATATAGCAATTGTTTCTTTTTAAAAAAGAATTGTGTTTTAACCTTATTTATTTTTATTTATTTATTTTAACTTGACTAGAGAGGGACAGAGTAAGAGAAAGAGAAAGAGAGAGAGAGAGGGGAAGGGAAAGTGAGAAATCAAGATGTCAGATCTGGGACTTGAGCTGTAATCGGCCATGTTGGAATCCACTTCCCTTAACCACCATGTTACCTGCTGACCCCTAGCAATGGTTTCGTAATAGAGAATAATGGAAATACTAATTATGGTTTTTCTATAAAAATATAAAGCATATCTTGTTCTGTATAGCAGGTTAATTAAAGTTTTATCAAGATTATTTTAATTTAATAAATTTTTAAAAAAAGTTTTTGCTATAAGACATGTATGCTTGCTGGGGAGAGAGAGAGAGAGAGAGAGAGAAAGAAACAGAGAGAAAATGAGAAATCACCCCCCAGGAGGGATGACCACACTGCAATCCCTTCTTCTCCAGTCTCCTCTCAGGATTTTGGACATACATGCACATGGACCCGGCCTGATTTTCAAGCTGCTGAATGCGAGACTTGAACCATGCAGTCAGCCATGTAGGATCCACCATTAACTTCCATCCCACTTGCTGGCCTAATTAGGATTATTTTTAACAAGTGATTTTTTTTCTATATGCATTTCAAGTTGCATTTAGCATAAATAAAATTCAATTTAAGAGTTCCAATAAACTGACTATATATGTTATTTTTATTTGTAAACAATGATGTACACTTTAGCTGAGATTATTAGTTAAAGATCTAAATCAGTCTAAGAAATGTTTTGTGTTTGAAAAGTAAAACCCAGGACTGGCCGATGACATAACAGTTTGGTTGCTGCCTCCCACATGGCCAACTATGGTTTAAGTCCTGGACCCTATGGCTTGAAACTTACACTGGGCCTGTGTGCATGTGTGCCCAAGATTCCAGGAGGAGAATAGAGGTGAAGGAATTGCAGTGTGGCCATCACCCCCTGGGGGTGATGTCTCACTTTCCCTCTCACTGTGTCTGTCTCTCTCTCTCTGGCAAGTGCATGTGCCCTAAGGCAAAAACCTCTAAAAAAGAAAGAAAAGTAAAATCCCGAAACATTGTACAAGTTGAGGTATTCCAATGATGGTGTCATGTAGAAGTCATTTTTGAAAAGGCTTTTTTATGAGTGCTCTAGTTTTTCAAAAGGAAGTTTGCTCATTATCAGGTATAAATGACACGTGATATTGCATTATATCTATAAAGCCAAATACAGACGAAATCTTTGGCTTATTTCTAGGCTCTTTCAACAAATATGATTCATTTAAATATGATTAGGCCAAGGGCCGAGAGGTGGCATGTTGATTAAGATGCTGGATTCCTACATGGCTAACTGCAGTTTGTGTCCTAGACCTGGTGGTTTGAGTCCCAGATCTGGTGACTTAAAAATTACAATGGATGTAAAATCTCAGGAGGAGAATGGAGGAGAGGGATTGCGTGCCCATCTCCCAGGGTGATGATTTCTCACTTTCTTTCTCTGTCTCTCTCTGAGTGATGTACCCTATGGCAAAAACCTAAGAGGGAAAAAACATTAGACCAGTTTACGGGAACATCAACAGAGAATTACTGTGCTAAATCAAAGATGGCCCCTGGTAATTTGCAAAGTGGCACAGGCCCGGTCTTTGCAGGTCATTTTGTTTTGCAAGTCAGCACCCAAATACCACCCTCCTTTCCTAGGCTAGGTATTGCTAAGATGGTAATGTAAGTTGAGTTTTGTCTCCTAAAGATGTGCAAACTCAAGAAGATGAATTCAGGACCAGTGTTATGGCATGGCGGTTAAGTGCCAGGCTCTGGGAGCCAGAACTCACATGGCTGAGTGTGATTCGAATCCTGCCCCCAGCGACTCGAAAAACACATAAGGGACGTGTGCATGTATGCTCCAAACCCTGACAGGAGGGAGAAATAGAGGAAAAAAGAACGTGGCATGACCAGGACCCATTTAGTTATTTCTTCTCTCAACCCGATTACTTGTTTGGTCTGGCCTGGTTATCATTCAGGACTCTGCTCTATGCCTACTTACCCGGACTACTATAATTTGGTTCACAAAAGAATGCACTTGAGGGACCAGCAGTCTGTGTAATGACTGTGTTCGCTGGACTCCCATGTATTCGACCACGATTCGAGTCCCGGACCCAGTGCCTTAAACTCAACGCCGGGCGTGTGTGACCAAGATCCTGAGAGGAGAATGGAGAAGGGATTGTGGCATGACCATCTCCCCTGGGGGGGGTGATTCCTCGCTTTCTGCCTCTCTGTCTCTCTTTGTTTTTGTGGTGAGCGCATGTGCCCTGTAGCAAAAACCTCTCAAAAAAGAAAACAAAACAAAACAAAAAAGAATGCACTTGAACGAAAAGTACTAAGGCTCTAAGATAAGGATAATGTCTGAGATCATCATAATGTTCTCCTTTTTATGACACTTTGGGCAGCCAGACAAAGCAACATGTCTAGTAAAATGCGTAACCATTTTTTTCCTTTTTTCTAATAGAGGGCATGTGTGCTTGTCAAAGAGAGACAGAGACAAAGAGATAGGGAAGAGGAGAAAGTGTCCCTGTGGGGTTGCACCCAGCAATGTTTCTCAAGCTCTTGGGTCTAGAACTCAGACTGCCTGTTCAACCATGTAAGATCTGGCTGCCTTAACTACTCGGCCGGGGAGACAATTCACTTGACTGTTGTATGACTTCGCAAATGCTTGCTCTCGATGTCTTCATGGGCACCCTCTCCAGTTATGTTTAGGACCTGGCTGGTGTTTGGGG